GTTTATTCACAGACTGACAACAGTCAACGTAGTGACGTCACATTAGGACGTACCTTCATACAAGAACAGAATAACAGTGCGACTGCTACCGTAGTACACAGACTAAGGGCGTCATCAAATAATAATACTTAACAAGTACAATCAGTTTTAAGGTTGCCATTGTAAACGGCATCTTGTAATTTCAGTTCCTGCCATGCCCTTTCTGTCCTTCGTGAGTGCTCAATGTATTCCTATCACCTGACCTCCACACCCACCTGGAAACCGTACATAGGCCTACGGTCTATGCTGCAAACCCATTTCCAATTTCCTTTTCAGTAGTCTTTGACTTTTCCGATTGTTCATGCTATCTTCCTTGTTATTACCTATTGTATTGCCTTTGAGGACTTTTTGACTGTTATTAGTGATGNTGTGTGCCTTGGCACCGTACATAGGCCTACGGTCTATGCTGCAAACCCATTTCCAATTTCCTTTTCAGTAGGCCTTTGACTTTTCCGATTGTTCATGCTATCTTCCTTGTTATTACCTATTGTATTGCCTTTGAGGACTTTTTGACTGTTATTAGTGATGAATCTTAAATTACACTCGTTTTGTTGGACAGAACTAGGCTAGCTGTTCCCCCTCCGTTTCCAGTCTTTATGTTTACGTCTCCTGGCTGTTTTCCAACATTTACCGGACAGACATAATACTGGCGTCAATGTTTTCAGTTTATTCTATGCAAGATATCAGATAGGTTCCTTACAAAGGAGAATTGCTTTAACTTTGCTTAAATGCATAAGTATGTTTTAGACATTACCAATCAATTTAAAACATATTTGATACAATTTATTGGCAGTTGTTAACGTGACATAATTACCCATAACTTTTAATGGCAATTGTCTCAGAGTTTGGTCCAGCTTCACTATGAATACATAAAGCTATTCCTAGTTTATTTGTTTGTCAATAAGACTCACAAATCCTTCTGGCCATAACCTTTTATTTTTACAGTATCATAAGCCATACGCTATCTTATAGAATTATTATGATGGGTTCGCCTTTTTTATGCCCATGAATCCAACATTAGACCTGAATGTGGTTATGACACCTTTAGCCCCTTTTTGTGTGAGTCTGATTCAAGGATTCGATAATATAACTAGGAGTGTCTGTCACATGTGGACTGAGCCTAGCCTTTTTCTACATGAATTGAAGATGTTATCTGTAATTACACACTCTGACATTCATCTCATGGCTCACACGTCAAGGTAATGCAACAAGGCTCATTATCATTCTTAGTCATGCTTTTTAAACAGTCTAAACTGAAAATATATTCACTGAGAAACAATACAGTAAATAGTCTTCAACATGACAAAAACATTTTTCACAGCAACGCAGAGACATGTCTGAGAATTGAATTATGCATAATGCCCGTGCACAGAGCTGCAACAGGAAACACCTTCTCACACAACAGGCTGGCCTCGTCCTGCTACCAGTTACAAAGACAATTATTGAGTAAGAAAAGCTTTGGTCTGCTTAAAAATGTAATTATATTAAGTGTAAATGCTATATTTTGTTTTTCTTATAAAGCATTTTTGTAAAAAGAATTGATTTCTGAGGGAGCTTTTTACATCTGTCTGCAAGAATTTAAGTGTAGAAGCTAACAATTAAATGAATGATGAAAGCCATTTATAATCCCATACCCTTTTCCTCTGAGTCTAGTAACATCCATACATAACACTTTTAGATGATAAATCACTGTGGGAAAATTATGTTTTTTTTTCCAGAAGATGACAACAAAATAACCATTCTTTGTGTTCCCTTTTATTGATTGTAAAGAAATGGAAAATCTATATTTAAATTAGTTTGAATTCTATTCAAAAATGGACATTTCGGAGCCTGTCTCTGCATGTCATAACAGGCCACCTCAATCTGTGTCTGACGCAGATACTGATAACAGCATGCTTCAAATAACAAATGCCTGCACACAAAAGACACAGAAAGCAACAATGCTTAGAGAGAGAGACCAGCTCATGTTGATCTAACTTTTTCCTAAACCAGTGTACTACACCAGGACAGGATGTAGAGAGACTGTAAAGCCACCTGAGAGAAGACCGAGGAGACGTATGACTGTAGCTTTTGAAATATATCACAAATACCATAATTCTTTACCACAACCACACTTCACACAAAAACAAATAATTAAATTGTAAAATAGTTACCTATGTGAGTTTTTCTCCTCCAAAAGGCCATTTTCTCCGGGGCCCTTCTAGGGGTTTCCCTACAAGACATACACACATACATTTCCAAACATTTGGACTACCTATGTTGCAAATGTATTATCTTTTCAATTTACACACGGCATCTATTGCACGTCTGTCCGTCCTGGGAGAGGGATCCCTCCTCTGTTGCTCTCCCTGAGGTTTCTCCCATTTTTCCCTTTAAACTGTGGGTTTTCTCCGGAAGTTTTTCCTTGTACGATGTGAGGGTCTAAGGACAGAGGGTGTCGTATTGTCATACTGATATTCTGTACAAACTGTGAAGTCCACTGAGACAAATGTAACATTTGTGATATTGGGCTATATAAATAAACATTGATTGATTGATTGATTGATTGATTGAAGACATGTGAAGAAATCAGAAATGGGATGTAACTAATAAATACATTTACTCAAGTACTTCACCTGAGTATTTTTATTTTCTGTACACTTTTACTCCGCTACACTTTACAGGCAGATGTTGTTTTGGCCACTATATTCATTTGACTGCTTTAGTCACTAGTAAATGTGTATTTAGATTGTTAAATATAAGATCTAATCAATTAGCTGTATTATCATATGTTAGCTAAGACGTTATTGAGGAAACATTTAATTAAAACCTTTCCCAGATGCAATATAAAGCGATAATTACATTTTGGCATAGGTTATTATCCAATGGCATATTCATTCTACGTAATGAGTACTTTTGATTCTTTAAACTAAACCTATTTTAACCTTCAAGCTTCTAACTTCACAACATTTTTTTGACAGCTTTAGTTACTAGTCCCTAATATAACTGCCTATAAAACTGAAAAAAAAAATTGTTATGTTGTAGTTTTGCAGATAATGCATTCATTCACTTAATTGGCATGTCTCATTTTTTATTTTCATTTTTTTATTGTACATTGGTATAAGATCTAAGGCAGTACACAAAGCAGACTGAAGCCTTGTCTCTTTTCTGTTCAGATAAGCAACTTTAATTAAACTATAAGTGTGGGCAGCAGCAGGTGACTCCCCAGTGAACTGTGTTGCCTTAGCAAAGCTCCCAGGTGAGGAAACACAAAGCAACAAGGTGTAGAGTTACTTGTTTTTCAAAATAATGTGTTAGTGTCTGAAATAAAACATGGTTTCTTACCTCGCACAAGTTTGTCACAGGCGCATTCTTGTTGTGTCTCCATGTATCCGTTTATTTCAAGCTCCACATTTAGCAGATGTATCCGCAGTAAACACTTTTTATCCTCCTCCTGAATAAAACATCACCAGACATGGATGCAGTCGTGTAAATACCAAACAAAGCCTGTTCATCTGCGAAGAAGAAAAAACCAGCTGAAGGTGTATTGATGGGAAAATGGCTGCAGGCAAGCAAGAAGCAGTCACAATATTCAGAGAGAAATGTGGACAAAGAGGAAAATCACCCAACTGATGATCACAACCCGAGAGAGATGAGATGAAGCTGAGACTGGAGTCTGCACCCGAGAGAGATGAGATGAAGCTGAGACTGGACTCTGCACCTGACCACAACAGATTTTCATCAAAGCTCGGATCTAGCAATGGATTGTTTTGTTCCGTGTGTGTGTGTGTGTGTGTGTGTGTGTCTGTGTGTGTGTGTGCACTTAACGCCTACTCTTAACTCCAAAATGTTTTTGATAACTTTGCAGATTGAGATTTGTTATATAATCAACAAATAAAGGATGTACTGTAGCTCATAATTATCGACAAGACTCATAAAAGTAGCCTACATGTTAATGCATTAGTATATTTTTCATTTGATTATTGATGATAAGTTATTGTTTTGTTTGAAAACTTCTCAACCTAGTTTATTTTAGGTCCAAAACCATTGTTGGCTAATACATGTTTATTAACCTTAGTAATCGTTTTGGATGCTGTAGGTTGTGCTGCTGTGTAACGTAATATAATTAACAGGTGACCTATGTGTTTGTGCTTATGTGCCCTTATGCTCCATGTTCAGTCCCATAACAATAATACATACATCATTAAAGTATAAAAGCCTTTGTAGTAATTAAAAAGTATGTACACATACATCTAACCTCTATGTAATACCTTTAGTATGATTAAGCGACTCTTCAGTAAAGCTCAGAGGTGGAGAAGTACTCAGACCTTGTACCAAATATTTTGTTTTTCAATATCCTCCGGTTTCCAAACGTTTATTTAAAGTGATAGGATTAAATATACTTGAAGTGCAAAGAGTACTACTCATTATTACAAAATGACATATTTCAAATGTAAGCATATAATAATTTCATTGTTGAAATTCACTCTCTCAATGTCCTGGTATTATATGTGATAATTGCTTGTAAATTACAGCAAAATTGTGAAATAATAATCTGTAACAAACAGAGAGGCATTATGATCAGTGAATATCACATGTTAATCAAAGGTCAGCCAAATCCGTTTTGTTGTGGATACAAACTTAATGTAAGATGTTCCCTGGAAACAACACGTTTCCATATTTCAGGTGGGTTAAGGACAAAGATAAGTGCAGTATGACGCAACACTAGTCTGTGAGTGATGTCAGATATACTGATTCACAGTTGAAATAATAGTAAGGTGTATAAATCAAAAACATTTAATAACAGATTATTTAAAATGGAACCAGGTAGTAGAGGTGAAATGCTTCCCCCTATTTCTTATAGTCAGGTATTACACAATACTTCCAGGCATTACATTGCACCACTAAACTGTCAGTTCCTGAAGACCACTTCTGATTGGACGAACGGTTGAGGGGGCGGGACAAACATTCTGTACTTTAAGCGAGAGTCGACGGAGAGTTCACGTCGGGTAGCTTCAGTTCATACAGGTTGAGTAAATCCTGCCTTATTTGCAGAGCTGAGAAAGGTCTAAGGACTTAATTCTCCCGGATTTTGTCCAGAATTGACGGTCAGACAGAGGACTAAAGGGTCGGTGAACAGTGGTGCTGCTGTTAAAGGCAAGTCTCTTGAAAGAGTTGTATTTTTCGACGTTAGTACTGACCCAATGATAACGCAGCATGCAGCAACGCTTAAACTCAGGTTAAAGGTTAGGCTTCACTAAAGAGGATGTCAACACCCCAAATTAATGCAACCCACACCAGTTACTTTTTCTACTTTTATAAGGGTTTCTGCCTTCTGGTAAACCAGGCATAGACTGGAAAGTACGTATTATGTCAAAGTCAGAATATCTAATGAAACCAGGTGTTCAATTTATGCTGTATAACTTTTTCACTAAAATGTGTCAAATCATCTTAAAGACGTGCTGCGTAGTTTGCTGCTGCTGATTTTCTGTTGTGTGTCTTTGTGTGTTGTGTCAAGCTATGCTAATAGCTGGGATGGTCCCTTTTAAGATTAGCTGCAGTATGTCTATGAGTGGTTCAGTTCCAGTCTTATCTAATCACATTTGTGTCATTACTGTATACGTCAGAACATTCAATATTAAAGATATCTAAAATGCGCTCCCCAACCAACCTCAATTGGATTATTAACAGTACTTCTAATTACTCTTATAACAAGTATTGTTTATGTTTATGTTATGTCTTGTCCTTGTATGTTTCTTTATAAAGCAACCTTGAGGTTATGAAAGGTGCTATATAAATTCAAATTATTATTGATTTCTACCCTTCTATTTGTAAACATGAACCACCCAACTGTGAAGTGCAGGTTGTTAAAAGATACAGTTTGTATGTAAGATATGCAAAAATAAGCTGTCTGTGGCTCTTTACTGCTGTAACGCTGCACATTTCCCCTCTGTGGGACTAATAAAGGTATTCTGATTCTGATTCCGATTGTTTGAGTTACAGATAGCCTAACTGAATTGTTGCCAACTAAAATGACTTGTTTTTCTTTCAGAGACAGAATGGCTGCACTGCGTCGTCTGAGGCAGTGCCACCCCACAGGCATTGCTCTCTCCCAATTTCACACGAGCAGCCATGCTTCTGCTAAACAGCATTACAAAATGCTTGTGCTCGGAGGAGGAAGTGGAGGCATTTCAATGAGTGCACGAATGAAGAGGATGTTTGGAGCTGGAAATGTGGCTGTTGTGGAGCCCAGTGAGGCAAGGATCCCGTACTAATAGCATTTGTATTAGCCTCACCTCTCTTTGTGTATCACTAAAAGATAATTCTACAGATCATGTGGTGTAGTGGCTTTCATTAATTCAGGTGTAAACTCATGATATCACTATTTTATTGTCTTTTAAAGCTGGTTGTCTAAGAACCTTTCTCTTTTTCCAGATGCACTACTATCAGCCTATATGGACCCTGGTTGGTGCTGGTGCAAAAACGTTGACCTCATCAGGTCGGTCCACTGCGAGCGTTATGCCGTCTGGTGTGAAGTGGGTGAAATCTAAAGTTCAGGAAATAAACCCAGACAAAAATACCATCCTCACAGACGATGGCACTGAAGTATGTTTGCTTAGGAAACTTTTATTTATATATAATAAAATAGTGTAAAAATATAATTGCTTAATACTGAGCAAAATAAAGATTATTGATGTGCATCTAACCTTACATAGACTTTATTTCATATTTCAGATCTCTTATGAGTATTTGATTGTGGCGCTTGGCTTACAACTCCATTTTGAGAAGGTGAAGTATCCCTTTGTTCATTTATAGTAAACATATGCCCTTTTCATATAAATTAGATTAGCATTAATTGATTTGTTGACTGACAGAAAAATCTCAGCCAGTTTTTTGATAATCTATTAATCATTGAGGTATTTTTTTCATCTAAAAATTCCTTTAAAAAAACATTTCAGCATTCTCTTATATTTAGATCAAAGGACTGCCAGAAGGATTTGATCACCCAAAGATTGGATCAAACTACTCAGTCGAAACTGTGGGGAAAACTTGGAAAGCTCTGCAGGACTTCAAAGAGGGAAATGCTGTGTTCACTTTCCCAAACACTCCTGTGAAATGTGCAGGAGCCCCACAGAAGATAATGTATCTCACGGATGCCTATCTCAGAAAGGTATTTCAGAATGTAATGTTGTACATTTTGAAACTATCATGTTTGGTTCTCCAAATTAAATGAAGAAATGTTTTTGTTTCTTTCCAAGACGGGTAAAAGAGCAAAGGCCAACATCATATACAACACATCGCTCCCTGTGCTCTTTGGGATCAAGAAATATGCTGACTCATTGTGGGAAATTGTGAAACAGCGTGACCTACAAATTAATATGAGGCAAAACCTGATCGAAGTGAGGGCAGATAAGCAAGAAGCTGTGTTTGAAAATCTTGACAAACCAGGCGAAACCAAAGTGTTTCAGGTAACTATCACTGTGCCTCGACAGAAGCTTTTCCTTCCTCTTCATTTTAGTGGGAAAAGAAACTCCAGTGAATAATCCTTAAAACTGATTTTCTGTATTAGTATGAAATGCTTCATGTCACACCACCAATGGGACCCAATCTGGTGGTTAAAGGCAGTCAGCTGGCAGATGAAGTTGGCTGGTTGGACGTCAGCAAAGACAACCTTCAACATAATAGATATCCAAATGTGTTTGGGATTGGAGACTGTACAAACCTGCCCACAGCCAAAACAGGAGCTGCTGTCGGTGAGTGATTATCGTGTCATTAGTTCAACATTGCATTAACGCAACTCTAGAATTCACTCAATATCGGCTTACAATTCATGCAGTCATATCCCTTTTTAACTGCTTGTGTTTTTTGTATTTGAGAGGGACTTTCAGTTAGTGTATTGCACAATTGCCTATTGTATTTACTGGCGATTATAAAAACATAAACCACACCCTAAAAAGCTTGTAGTGAAGGGACACTTCTCAGTATCTGCTGGATTGTATTATTATCTCAGTTCACCTCTGTGCTTTTGCTCACTTTTACGATTATATTTTCCAAATAAATGTTTTGCACATGATACAAATGCATAGTAAAGTTTAACCCTTGGATTCTTGCCAGCTGAAACTGTCTGTGTTTATGCCAGTTCCTGTCTGGTAACTGGATTAAATGATGGGAAGTGCTTGGCAACTTTAGATCACTGATGATGACATTGGGGTTGTAAAACATTCCTTATCACTTCCTGTACAACTTCAACGTGACTACAGTAAAGAATTAGTCTAATCATGCCCACCATGTTTACATTCCAGGGTGAATTCACAAAGAAACGATTGCAGCAGCTGATGGCGCCATAAATTGCGCATCACTTGCTATTCTACCTGGTCCAATTCACATAAGATATTTACATTGCAACTCACGGTTACATTGCAAGTTTTGAACACACCTGACACTTCATGAAGGCTCAACAAAGAGAACATGTGGGAGGCCCAGATATTTGTGCTATGCTAGGCTGATGTTAAGTTTCCATGTCCTTATTCTCGGCCCACTATAATTAACCCCACATGCAAGTGGATTATTAGCATGCATAGATGGATGGTACAGAATGTATGTGTAGGATGAATTTGGAAAACTTGTTAGTCTTTTCAATTCCTAATAAGAGAATACATAAAAAGAAAAGCTTACCCTTGTTTTCAAATATGCAGCTGCACAGTCTGCTATTTTGAACAGAACCATCAGCCGAGTACTGAAAAATGAGAAGCCAGACAGAACGGTAAAACCTCCTTTCTTTTTGATTTTGAAACATGGTCTAACTTCTCAGAAGTACTTCTGTTGTAAAAATCTACAAATACATAAGCATTGGTCTCCTTGTTTACAGTATGATGGCTACACCTCATGCCCATTGGTCACAAGCTACAACACAGTGATTCTGGCAGAGTTTGATTACAACGGACAACCACTGGAAACATTCCCTGTGAACCAAGCCAAAGAGAGCAGAATCATGTACCACATGAAAGCTGATGTGATGCCTCACCTCTACTGGCACGGGCTACTACGGTATGTATAACGTTGATTAACAAAATTGTAATAGTTGTTAGTATGAATCATACCAAATGTTATTATTTGTATTTATTTCTCTTATGTCAGGGGCCTGTGGGGTGGACCAGCACCATACAGGAAAATCCTTCATCTCGGGATGAAATGATACCATCCATTTGCAAGTTGATACTTACATTTCCACTTCTTTTAGGGAAAGAAGTAGCACATTATCTCCATCATTATCTGAAAGGGTGGACACTTGCGTGCTAATACAGTGGTGGCCTCGACCTCATGACTAATCATAACAAATGTTTGCATATTTTTTAACATGTAGCAAGTAACTCCCTGTAATAACAATTGTATCTGAATCTATGTAGCTTTTAGCTGCTAATTGGTATTTTTTGGTTCATTTGGCCGCACATTGAATGTAAGGATGGCTGCATTGATAACCCCAATTATCCAACCAACAATGACATTTTTATATTAGAGCCTAGAGCAAAGGTTTTTAGAGTTATTTTTTTATTTGCCACCTAGGTGTACCAGTGTATTTTATAAGCCTTCTTCACATAAGTCCCAAAGCCGAATAGGTATAGCCAGGCTCTTTGAAAGTCATCTAACCTCTTGCTGCAGGGTATATAAGTTAATGTTGCCTACCTAGAGCCAAGAAACTGACCCTTGAAATGATCCCATTGTGTATAATTATTAACAACTACAAATGCTGGCATTTTGGTAAAATTGCATGATTTTTTTTTCACGATATTGGAGGTATACTCAACTCTACAGCTGCAAAATGTGTGTATTGGTGAAAGTCTGTTATTGTGTTTGTAGTGTAGCCATTTTTCCATTTCATACAGTGTTCAGGTTTGTTGCCAGTGTGTGCGGTTCTATATTTAGTTAGTTTTGTGTGCTTCCAACATGAGGGATTTTTTTCTTGGGGAATGGCCATGAAAATGACAAGTGCTTTTCTATAATCATTAAAATGAATGTGTAAATATATAAACCCACTTTAATTGCTATAACAGAACAAATAAATAATAAAACCGTAAATATTTCGTTAGTAAAATTCCTACCCTGTTGTCTTTGTTATTTTTCATCCAAATAATGTGCATGACAAATTGAATGTTTTATTTGATTTACAGTAGTTTTAGTGTGATAGTAGTGTCTACTATTCTTGAGTCCCTGATTAATATTATCACTTAAGACCATAGACTTTATAGGTAAAGAAACAATCTTTCACAATCATCTCTATGTCATATTCAAATGTAAGGTAGACTGTGCTAAATGTGCTGTACATGCAGACCATGTTTATTCTGATAGGTGTTGTAGCAGAAGTAGGCTACTTAAGTGATTTTCAAGTTTTGCCAATTTACTAATCAATTAGATGTTGTTGAAACAATAGATGAAAAAAAAGGTATTTTAATAATGAAAACTTTTGGAACTCCTTGGTAAAAGAACAAAAATAACTGGTCCTATGTGGCCCTTCATGGAATAATGTACAGAAGAACCTACACTTGTCACGGCTGAATAAATCAATTTGAAAGGATCGTGAGAATGTGGTTACTCTTAGAAATACACTGAAATCGTAAAAAAAGATACCTGCTAATGCATTATAACTGTGTATTGCATATTAACAGGATCTTAAGATGCTTTAACTGTAGTATGGATCTGTATTTGTCTGTAATTCACATGTTTCTATTTCAACCATGGCAGCCCGCGTCATTCTTGAAAAGCATTTTTAATCTCAATGTAATCCACTTGTAGTCGCACAGAAGCACCGGCAGGGATAACGTTTGGTAGTGAGCCTCGGTCCAGCTGCACACACAACAACCATTTTTCTTCTGTTGACTCCGCTCTCCGCCACGTTGGTTCTCCGTTACGTCTGTGTCGCATTCCGCTGCGCACCACCAGCGTTATGTTTGTGATGAGGCGGGAAATGGCGTCCGCAGACATGTTTGGTCTGTGAATACCGAGCGACAGGCACCGCTGGCAGCAACAACACGGCCCGACCTCTACCGGTGGCCCGCCACGGTCGCGGCCGATAGCTGCCAACACTGCGGCAAGTTTTGAAGAGCTTCCTCGATCATCTGTAAGTAAACAACAACGTCAACATGTAAACAAAAAGGTTTGTCCCTGATAGCCTGACTGCTAGCGGCTAGTGTTAGCCCGCGAAGGGGGCGTAGTCTAAAGGCTGAAAATAATAATTATGGACTCGTTAGCTAGAGCTTAGCTATGTGATAAATGGCTTTATTTAACCGATGAATTAAAGGGCATTTTGTATGTGAACGACACACATGTTTACGGGGACAAGTGTGAGACGTGCTGTGGGAACTGTCGTGAATAATGTCACGGCCTTGCTTTGCTGCCATTGGCGTTTTGTTAGCCTGAAAGCTAACTGTAGCTGCTTGTGTTAGCCAAGCACTCAGGAAGTGCGCCGGCCGTTGAAGGTGAATTAGTAGTGGCCAAACGGTGGCACTACAGCTTCCGTGATGTCATTTTGCCCAAAAATACTTTCCCCCATTGATTTACATTGGGAAAGACAGGTGTCTAATTCAGCGTATATATATTTGAATAAGCTCAATAAACTAACCAGCACGAACAAGTGTATAGCCCGTATTTAAATCACTAGGGAATAAAAGTTGTAATAGGCGTTGAACGGTTGAACCCCGTATCCAGAGTAATGTTCTCTCTCCATTCATTTGACATGAGGCGGGGCTTAAAGAAAACTGAATTGCGCGTGCTCTATAATTAAAAGGCCCCGGATGATCCGGGTACTTTCTGAATCTTCAGTCGCTCTGTTTTGAGCTTCATGCGCCACTGAGCAACTCTCATAGGAATGAACGGGGTCCCGCCTCTGTATTCAGTTTTCTTTATACATTCACCGTGTTAACTAGCCCTATAGCCACCGACAGCATATTTTTAAATACATTCTGATTGATGCAGATATATTCAGCTGACAAGTGGCAGTAGTGGCTAAATAAACCATTGGCTTGTCCTACCATAGAAGGCATTTTGGTTTATTAATCAAACCGGAATGTAATGCTAAAAACCAGCAGCTAGCTAACGTTAGCGCTATTTGACGTTGTTGGCGTTAACAGAGCCTGATGTTACATAACGACAGTGAGGGATGCTGTTATGCTATCTGATAAAGCAACAAGTAGATTACAAAGCTGAGGTACTGTCCACTAAATATGCATTTGTACCACCCCCAGCTCGATATGAACACAATGAAGGCCTCGCATCCGTTTATAATTCAGTGTTTATCGGGTAGCGTTATCGGGGAGCCCACTCCACTGACATTTGTCGCTAAAATCAACCTCTGCTCTCAATTTAGTTTATAATCCCGTTACATGATTACACCACAACATCCGATGTGGTTATGACTATAGTAAACCTCTGAAATCAACAGTTCAGTCGATCTACTAAATAATATTTGCCGTTGATTTATTTATTAGGTTTTGTTATTTGTACTCCTGTCCTAACACTGCAAACTCCCCCGCTGTGCCACTAATAAAGCATTATCTTACATCTTATCAGTATCTTCAGCTGACTTGCTCCATATTAGTTATTATTACGTAACAGTTTTAATAATTTGGTATCATCTAGCACACCTATTTGTATTGCTTGTATGTCATTTTTAAATTGTACACAAATATTTAGTTATATAAATTACATGAAATTGTATGTAGTTTTTCTTTTTTTAATAAATACACAATCTTTTCAATAATCAATAGTTTAGCAAGAATACAAAAGTCACATCATGTCTTTACAAGAATAGACATAAACAATGTTTATTATGCTGACAATTATTTTTAATGTATAGGGCAGGATATCAAGGCTTGAAATCAAGTATATGGTCAGATGCATCTTAATTACCAATTTTTTGTATCAAAGTTCTTGTAAAGCTGCTTCTGGTTCGACACACTGTTACGTTGAACAACTTCGTTCTTATGATCATTTGGAAAAAAAACATTTTGATATTTAAGAGAAAGTTATTATCCTCACTTTTAAAGCAATATTTAAAACTCCTTTTTTTTTCTGTTGTCAGATTTTTCTATGTGACGGTGAAGCATGATGAAGCTGAGAGTGCGTAAAGCTCCTCAGCAGCCACCCTTAGGCCGTTTAACCCACCCGTCCCCGACCAAACGGAAACACCGTGAAGTGGAGCCATCCCCCGTGAGAGGTCGAGGCAAAATGCAGAAGAATGAAACTGGCCTGTTCTCCACTATAAAGAAATTCATCCGTGGAAATGCTGTCAAGGTGAGCTTTCGTCTGGATTCACAGTTTTGTTTTTTCATTCTGTAACAAGAAATTCACAGTTTTGTTACGCAGTTTTGTGCCTTGGCTGCATTTTGTGATGATCATTTTAACCGGTGTCTCACACTTAATAGCTAGGAGTGTTTTTAGATGCTTGATATACATTCTAAACACACCCAACATTCTTTCGTACTGCTTGTTCTGGTAGTTCATATTATAATTATAAATGATCAGTTAATTGCCATCTGTAAAACCACATAGGTTTTGTTAACAGAGTAGGTCATGAGCATTTTTCAACAAAGCATCTACACAATTTGCTTTGCTTTACCTTTAGCCCCTTTCAGACATGCAGCTTCATACTATTGGGAGTATGAGAAAGGATCAAAGACACTAGATATCATATAAGATAGGATCTAGCTACATTTCTGAAACTCTACAGTCAACACAGTCTCAATTTAGTGTAGTCCCATTAATGTAAAAAGTGAAGCAGCACAAGTTAAACGATGCACAGTGAAATAAAATGCATTTTTCTTTACCTGCACTCTATACATTATTCTCACTATAATAATCACTAATTGAGTCTCTTATTATAATCATTTGAAGTTTTTCTTATTTGCAAGAGAAAAAAAGCCAACAAAAGCTGAAATAATGTGAACGATTAATAACTGTTCTGAATCCCTGTTTTTTCTCTTAGGTGGAGCAGGATATCCCCGCAAAGAGGAGTCGTATTGAATGTAATTCTGAGAGCGATCTCATTACTTCAACACCACAGACAAGAGGCCTTTCCAATAAAGCAGTCCCCAGAGTTTGCCGCAAAAGTCCAAATAAAGGTAAAGACAAAAGAAATGTGTCACTTTGACTACAGCCTAACGGAGCATATAGCTCTTCCAAGTTTAACAACAAGAAAAGCAGTAATATTTTCTTTTTTTCTTTTTAGATACAATGACCTGCAATAGTAAACCCCTGAAACCTAACGGTAAACTAGAGGTCCCCGTGGAGGTGGTGAACAGCCCGCCCCGCACCACCCTGCTGGGAACCATCTTCTCTCCAGTCTTTAACTTTTTCTCACCAGCAACTAAAACTGGTAAGAATCCTTAGACATCACTGTAAACAAATGACTTGTGTTACCAAACTATAATGAGCGCTCATTTCATGTTCAGCCACTCCTGGTTCAGACTCTCCTGGCCAAGCGATAGAAGCTGAGGAGATCATGAAGCAGCTGGACATCGAGCCGGCAGAAGAGATGCCCAGCAGCACCCTCACGTCCACAGAGGGCATCACTCCCTGTCACCCTGCACCCGTGTTACCGCAGAGGCTTCAGATGAACTCTGATACAACCATAGAACAAGGAGAAATAGTAACAGAAACGGACATGCCACCTTTAACAGGTAAAGACTTCATTCTCATCCTTTGTGAATGGCACGACATGTGGCTTTACAGTAGGATCTACTTTTGGCCACATAGATTTCCAAAGATGTCCCTGCTCTTTGGAAAGCTGTGTCGAGTCAGTTCTCAATGTCTGTGTCTTTAACAAACTGTTAACATGGTTGTAACCTCTGCTTTATGATTGGACGATAGAAAACCGATCTGAAACTGGAACTTTCAGGTTCTATGTCAGAAGTAAGAAAACTTCATTCAAAATCACATTGACAAACAAAAAACACAAAAGCTTTTGTCAACAATGTGTCATTTGTTTCACTCCATACATTTAGATAAGGGTGGTAATGGTTAAAAGATTGATAACATACTGAAGTTGTTTGCCAGCCTTTTAACAAACAACATTTCCTAAGCCCTTGAACATTATGGGTAAAAACATTTTCTTTTATCTTTTTGTTTTAAGTTCTGATATCATGAACTGTAGTGGATGAGGATGTGTGTAAGCATATAAACAGTAAACCTCAATTACAGCTTTAGGTTTAAGATTATAAATGTTAAATGAGTGATTGACTTACAGAAGATAGAGGAAGAGAGATATCACAAACGTGACATCATGACTTTGGTTCTTCTCTTTTCAAGAACATTTAATTTAACAGCTTTCCCACCTCTCTCTCTGTCTCTCTTCTCTGTCTCTCTCTCTCTGTCTCTCTCGTTCTCTGTCTCTGTCTCTCTCTCTCTGTCCCTCTCTCTCTGTCTCCATCAGCTCCTGGCTGTATGCC